TTGCCACTGCATCAGCCTTGTTACTACCTGTGGTAACATAAGATGCCTCCTTCCCAATTTTCTACTCTTATCCTCTATCAGTATTGCTCATCCAGAAAGAAAGCTCAGCTGAGAGAACAGGAGTAAGTAGGAGGAATTTCTTTGCAACTTTTATCTTACAAAATGATTTCCTTGATGATGTTAATGTATACATATGTCAGAAAAGGTAGTATAACAAGATGCCAAGGCCCAGAGGAAGGGCAATTAGATTAGGGGAGCCCCTGTACTTCCTCCTGTGCAAGCTGCAGCTATTAGCGGGCAGAGTGAAGGGTACCCGTTGATATTGAAAAGTGGCCTGTTTCCCTCAGCTAATAAAAGGAAACAGTTTGAGGAAATGGAAAGTAGTTTAATTTGTGGACAAAGTGAGGAGGGCAGCAGACTGTCTGAAAGACCACTTTTCTGCCCTTTGCAGAGGGCGGGGGTATTTATACTAATTAGTAAAACTAAGGGGAGTTGGGCCAGGGTCTGCAAAGGGGAGGCAGGAAGGGTCAGCATGTCCTTTTGATGTAGGCCTACCTGTGGGTGCCAGCTTGCTTTGCTGACACCTGGTGTTTAACTTATTACCTTCTTGGAATGTCCTTTCTTTTTTTTTTTTTTTAAGATTTATTTATTTATTTATTTATACATACATACATACATACATACATACAAGCACTGGGTACCATCAGAAGCGCGGGAGGGTGAGAGAATTCACCAGAGCCAGAGCGGGGAGCAGAGCAGGCAGAAGGACAGAAGTACACTGCTGAGGGGAGCAGTGGGTGGCAGGAGAGGTCTGCGCACCATGTGGGACCCTCCTGTGGTGGCCGGGGAGCAGCCGGGGATCGAACCAGCGCCGCAGAGGCCGCGGGCAGCTTCGCAACCCAGCGCTCAACCGCTGCGCCACCGGGGAGGCCCTGGAATGTCCTTACTTTTGCTGAGACTGCAAGAAGACAACTTGTTAAATGCAAAGGATAAGAATACTTACCTGATGCGGCAGGAAAAAAGACCTGTCCTTTTCACTGCATCACCCCCTCCCCACCCTACCCCTGCTTTCTGGGACCTGCTTCAGAACAGTTTTTCTGTGGTTCCTTGCCTGAAGGTGCCTTAGATCGGTGGCACGGTTTTGGGCCTCAGTGACCCCACTTTAAGTCAACCTTGTTTGGACATTTACCTGTTAGTGGATGGACAATTTTGTTTAGAAATATCCTTTCTTTTCTCACCCTCTGCACACTAATTCTATTAAAGTGATATTCCACTGAAGGTTTGCTTTGCCTTTTGTACATGATGTGGTTTTTGCAGTTGTTGGGTTTGGAGGCCGGGCTCTTGGGTTCACTCTGGGGAAGGTGTCACCAGAGCTCCCCTTTCAGAGGCTCACGGTGAGTTTCCCGGGCCAGTTTCTCATGAGACAGTGATGTTAGTTATATTTATTTATTTTTTTTTAAACTTTTTTTTTTTTTTTTTATAGAGGCATGTTTTTTATTTATTTATTTATTTGTTCGTTTGTTTCGTTTATACATGCACTGGGTACAGTCAGAAGCGCGGGAGGGTGAGAGAATTCACCAGAGCCAGAGCGGGGAGCAGAGCAGGCAGAAGGACCGAAGTACACTGCTGAGGGGAGCAGCGGGCGGCAGGAGAGGTCTGCGCGCCATGCGGGACCCTCCTCTGGTGGCCGGGGAGCAGCCGGGAATCGAACCAGCGCCGCAGAGGCCGCGGGCAGCTTCGCAACCCAGCGCTCAACCGCTGCGCCACCGGGGAGGCCCAGATGTTAGTTATATTTAAAGAGCAGGTTTATTATAAAAGGGAGAGAAGAATAAAGGACACTTACATAGACACATGCAAGAAGAAGGTGCTGCCCCAAAAGAGACAAGTTTTCTAAGGCAGAGACCTGCATGGTTGCAGACAGGCAGCCTGAGGAGAGCTTCCTCTGCTGAGGGAGGTCAGTGAGGGGAAGTCCTGGCAGGTATCTGTCAGGGGAAGGCAGGAAGCTGCTGCCCTGGGGAGGGACAGAGAGTTGGTGAAAAGGAGCACCTGCATAGTCCAGGTGGGCACAAGGAGTGCTGCCCCAGCCAGTGCAGAGACTGCCCTGATAGAGTCTTCTCTCTGGGAGGGTAACTCCTTCCTGGAGTGGTTTGTTTGTTGTTGCCTTGGAATAACTATGTAGAATTTGAAAGTGGACAGATTTCTACAATGGCTCTCAATCTCCATATGTTTACCTTTAGGTCTGCTCTGCTGACACCCCCTACAGCATCTGATACCTGCTTGGGTCTGGTGCTTTGTGATCTAGGCATTGGCTCCTAAGGATCTTAGCTCCCATAGCTGGGTTAATGGCTGGGTAAATCCCTTCTACCCCCACCTCCAGCTCTTGGCTTTGTGAGCCAGGTTTCTGATCTTGTGGGTTTCCTTTCCACTTTTTCTATGCTTGTCCTCCATCCTGTGGATGACTAGATCCCTTTAGAAAGTAGAATTCTGGGCCTCCCCTGGTGGTGCAGCGGTTGAGCACTGGGCTGTGAAGCTGCCAGCGCAGCCTCTGCAGTGCAGGTTAGATCCCCGGCTGCCGGGCGAGGGTCCCACATGATGTGCAGACCTCTCCTGCCACACCCACTTCTCCCCTCAGCAGTGTATTTCATCATTCTGCCTGTTCTGTTCCCCGCTCTGGCTCTGGTGAATCCTCTTACCCTCCTGTGCTTCTGACTGTACCCAGTACTTGTATAAATAAATAAATAAATAAATCTTTAAAAAAAAAAAAAAAAAGAAAAAGAAAACCACATCATGTACAAAAGGCAAAGCAAACCTTCAGTGGAATATCACTTTAATAGAATTAGTGTGCAGGGATCCCAAGATACCCCTAGGTTGTGCACTAACAATGCAACAGAACTGCAATAAAGTGTGTTAAATTGTTACCGGTTCTGAAGGGTCTTTGTCTGGTTTCCTCCAATCCATTGTACATAAATCTTGAAAAGACAGTAACTGGTTTCAAGAGAGGAACATTTATTGTGGTCACAGTAGAAGAGGGCAGGCAGCAGCCACCCTGAGCCACACTCCCTAGTTGAGAGCATCAAGGATCCTGCTTTATGAGGCTCATCACCGAATCGGGCTAGTGGGGAAGTAGGGTATTGGCTGGCCTTGGGCTTTCTAGCTTGGATTTCAGGGCCTTTAAGCACCCATAGATGCTTTATCTGGTCTCACATTAACACCCTCCTATTGTTACAGAGCAGGGAGAGGGGCACCCCAGACCCTGCAAACCTGCCTGCTGTAAATAGGTTCTGCCATCCGCAGCATCAGCACAAAACATGAGACTTTAATGGGAAGGAACTTTAATACAATTAGGAACCAATACAGGAAAGGCAAAAAATCTACTTTCTAAATCAAGCACCCAAAGTTAGCCATCCCCTCGTGAGTAAATGTCCATCCAAAGCATCTTCCAGTGGGGACCCACAGAAAAGGATCGGAAACAACCAGACAAGTCTCCAGGGAAAAGAGCAAAACCAAAATCAAGACAAAATCCACCATGGTCACCTCCCCAGGAGTCTCACCCACATCTGTGTCACCCAGTCCACGACCAAAAGCCAAGCGCAGTTTCCTCACGTGTCTCTCGGCTCCATGCGCCTCCTCCAGGTCTCCTTCTGGCTCCATCCTGCTTCCTTTCTCAGTCTCCTCTGCAGCTTCTTCTCTCCCTGCTCACATCCACCCTCCCTTGGGTGGGCCAGGGAACCTGGAACCTCCCCCTTTCCTGGGGACCACCCTGTTACACTGTGACAAGGGAAAGTGCATCCCAGCTCTTTAGGTTTTCAGCAACAGGAAGGTAACAAACAAGGACCAGGTTCCAGGGGCCCTGTACTGACATTATTATGCAAACTGTATTTTACCCATCACCAAGTGAAGGAGGAAGTAAGTTCGGAAAGTAGGCAGTTAGGGTCACAGGCCCAGCCTTGAGCTGGCTTTCTAAACCGTTCCTAAAACAGGGACTTATATAAGCTGATCCACACGCTGCAGAGAAGAGTTGGGGTATAGGCCAGAGTCTGGGGGGATGAAAGACTTCACCAGAGACAGACTAGAGAGCAAAAAAGGAGAATTTATTGAAATACACAAGTGAGAGGAGCAGGGGCCAGATGAGGGCCTGAGGCTGTTTCTACTCTAGGCACCACTGATTGGTTGGGTGACTAGTCTTGGGTGTATCCTGACTCTGCATCTGGATCCTCAGCTTAACAGCCCAGTTCCTGTGGCTGCCCAACCCACAACCTTATCCAGTCAAGCCTCCCAATTTGCCTGTTGAACGAGGAGTGGGGCCTAGTTTTTAACTTTAATAATGGCACCACACCATAAAGCAATATCTTTGTGGGCCCCAGATAATGCCATCTGCACATTCCATAAAACCAGATATTCAGCCAAGAGGGGCTGGCTCCCGGACTCCACAGATGACTGATTCAACTAGATAATAAATGTCTTCCTTTTCTGCCTAACTCTGGTCTTCAAGATGATTCTTTCCTCATGGAGATGAAGATCAAGTTGCATGAGTCCAGGAACTGCACTTCCTTGATTCCTCCCCCCCCCTTTTTAATTAAAGATTGATTTATATATGCATACAAGAATTCTGGGGTACAGGCCAGAGGTGAGGGGTGAGAGGATTCACCAAAGACAGACTGGGGAGCAGAACATGAGGATCTCATGAAATACACTGCTGAGGGGGACCAGTGGGTGAGACAGGAGAGGTCTGCACTATGTGGGTAGCTGCCTGGACCCGAGATGAAACTCTGTCGCAGTGGCTGCTGATAGCTTCATAGTGCTGTGCTTAACCCCTTGCATCACAAGGGAGATCCTCCCCTTTTTTTTCTTAAATATTTTATGTTAGCCTATCTTTGTTTTCTGTACAATTAGAATTGTATCCTGGCTTTCTCGTTTGTTCCAATACAACCTTCTCAAATATACAGGGATCTGTGAGCAAGAGACTCAAGCCAGGATAGCGAGCAGCAGGGGCAACAGCTATGGCATCAAACATCTTAGTGAGCATCCAGGAGGAGGTGACCTGTCCCATCTGCCTGGACCTCTTGAAAGAGCCCCTAAGCCTAGACTGTGGCCACAGCTTCTGCCGAGCCTGCATCACTGCAAACAACAAGGAGTCCGCGGCAACCCAGGAAGAGAAGAGCAGCTGCCCTGTGTGCAGAATCAGTTACGAGCCTGGGCACCTGCGGCCTAATCGGCACCTGGCCAACATAGCAGAGCAGCTCAGAGGAGTCAAGATGAACCCAGAGGGGGAGCAGAAGAAAGAGCTCTGTGTGCGCCATGGAGAGAAACTCCTGCTCTTCTGTAAGCAGGATGGGAAAGTCATTTGCTTGCTTTGTGAGAGGTCTCAGGAGCATCGTGATCACCAGACCTTCCTCATTGAGGAGATTGTCAAGGAGTACCAGGTAGGAGAGCAGGATGCAGTTAAAACAGCAGAATATATAGTTGATGGGAAATCTCCTCCTGGTTGTCTTCTCACCACACCCCACATCCCAGAGGTCTGTGATGTCTTTTCTTCCTAAGGTATTGATACAGGGAAAATTCCCCCACTCCTCTAAGTTCTAGGGCTGGATGAGCAACGAGATTAACATCAGACAGATTAGAAGGAGAAAAGGCCACCTTTAATAATGTACACATGGAGAATTTACGTGGCTGTAAATACTGAAATAAAATGGGATAGATCCAGTGTTTATTAATTTTTAAATATTTATTTTTGCATACAAGAGCTGGGGTACAGGCCAGAGGTGTGGGGGTTGAGAGGATTCACCAGAGACGGAATGGGGAACAGAACAGGTGGACTGACTGAAATACACTGCTCTGCAGAGCAATGGGTGGGACAGGAGAGGTCTGCTGTGCCATGTGGGTAGCTCCCTGGCAGGAGATTGAACTCATGCCACTGTGGCTGGGGATGACTGGATAGCAGTGAGACTTTAGCCCCTGTGCCATGAGGGAGGCCCAGATCCAGTATTTATAAGGATGGGTTAAGGATGTTAAGGATGGGTTAGGAGCCTGGGGTGTCAAGGAGGGAGGAGGAGGTCTCTGGGACCAGGAGCGGACAATTTCATATGATACAACCTTGCCTTTAGATATTTGCCTTGCCTTGAGATAGATTTTTACTGTGGAAAGTTTTTTTCTGGAGGCCTCCCTGGTGGCGTAGGAGTTAAGTCTCAGCCCTATCATCACAATGGTCTGAGTTCAATCATGGGCCGGGAGCTGACCCACAGATGGCACAGCTGATTCTGTTTCGCCCACTGCTCCCCTCAGCAGTGTATTTCAGCCGATTCTCCTGTTCTGCTCCCCACTCTGTTTCTGGTGAATCCTCTCACCCCTTTCAACTCTGGCCTACACCCCAGTACTTCTGTGCATAAATAAATAAATAAAATCTTAAAAAAATAGTTTATTTCTAGAGATGTTGCTAAGTCTAGGTCATCTCTTTAACATAACACTTCCTCATGACGCTCACGAAATTTTGATTTACGTTAGTTTTACCTAATAAGAGGACACAAATTGAAATTTTCCAGTTTGGAAAAAGCTGGGGGAAGAGAAACACTTGGCTCACCTTTCAAGGTAGAGGACATTTCTGTGCCTCCAGCCTGATTGCAAGAGACCTCTTTATAGTGAGAAGTGGATGTTTTTGAACCATGTGTTAAATGGGGAGGAGGGGCTAGTGCCCATGAAAATCCACCATTCCCTTTGCACATGAAGTGTAACTGAGAGACTGGGTAGATTGAGATGTTGTTTCTTTGCTGCAGGACCAAATTTCTCCTCTAGGACAAATAGAATCATCCTGTCTTGGAGAAGGGATGGTGACTACGCTCAGACTTCTGCCTGAGACTGAATACGTTCCCACTTCAGATTTTCTCTTAAGTCGTAGGTTTGTTAGGGGGAAAGGATGTCCTGAGCTAATTCCATGCAGGTTTTGTGGACGCCACCCCCACTCCAGACTAAAGCCATCAGGACATTGAGAAAGACAAATCCCGTCACCACCAAAGGGAAGGTTGCTGGGACCTGAGGGTGGAGTTAAGCAGCCAGGTTGAGTATAAAAACCAGACACGTGGGCCTTGGGGGGGCTCGCTATCTCGCTCGCCTCCTGGCTTCAGGGCTCCTGGCTCGCGGCCAGCTCGCAGAGTGCCCTTTGGGATTCCAGATCGGCGGATTGGGTAGGACGCATTTAAAACTTTGTCTCCCATTTTTACCCTGAGCTGTACATTTCCTCATTTCCCCTTCCCTTGTAAATAAACCTTTAATTAACCTTTCGCGTGTGCCTGCAGTAGAGTATTGACAAGTCCTTTTAAGCGCACGGGTGAGGACCCACAGTCAGGCACCCCGTTTTGTATCGGAGCTGCCCTGTTACAGTTTGGCGTGGTTTCCAAGTTACACCTGTGGTTGACCAGCTCAAAGTAACTTTCCTTGCTTTGGTCACCATAAGCGCACTAGTTCTTAATACGTTCACACTTAAGATTTTCTTCTAAGTCGAAGGTTCTCATGATATTTTCAGTTTCTGTGACTCTTATGTTTAGAGATCATCTGATTACTTCCTCCATGACCTGTATTCAGATGTTGAGAAAAGCCCATTGCTTGACTCTGGCTTGATTCCCCTCTCACAGGAGAAGCTCGAGGGCGCCCTTGACCAGATGAGGGAAAAGCTGCAGAAAGCTGGACATTTGGAAGCTCAAGTCACAAAAAGGAGAATTTCCTGGAAGGTAGGAGGAGGTTCTTTCTGAGGGATTTAGACAGAAATCTGGTAGAATTTGGGTGATAACACGAGGAAATTCCTACCTTTTTGTTATTGGATCATTAACAATCCCACAGTCATTTATTATACTTTTCTTCATCATTTCCCTGATGGAGGAGGGGATTGAAAAGTGAACCTGGCACAGGTGAATGGGTCTTTGGAGGGAAGGTTCATATGGAGGGACACTGGCCAGGACGGCAGTGCATTCTCTGTTCCAACCCATCATGCGTTTGAGTCTTTGACTCTTCTGGGGGATGCCATTTGGCCATGGCTCCTGGTTCTGGGCCAGTGTGCCACTTGGGCAGAGGGTGAGTGGTGCGATCAGGAGTAGTCCAGCTGTGTGAACATGGAGACTAGCCAGTTGCTCTGTTTTGGCTCAGGGTTGGACTCAGTGCTGCAGACTTGAGGGAATTACTTTGGAATATAATAGAGGGGAAGTAGTAGGTGAAGAGCCTCTTTAAGAATTGTTCTCTTGCTCTGTCTCACTTTGCTGTGAGAACTTTCCATTTACAGTGGTGCTGGTTCTCGTTCCTAGTCTCTGCCTGATGGGTTGAGTTCTACTTCTCTCTCTTTTCTCTGTCCTAAGAGTCAAATACAAAGTGAGAGACAAAGTGTCCAGGCAAAGTTTGCAAAACTGAGAGGTCTCATGGACTCGGCGGAGCAGATGGAGCTGCAAAAACTGAATAAGGAGGAAGAAGTCATTCTCCATAAATTGGCAGAGGATGAGAGTGAGCTCGTTCAGCAGAACCAGTTGATAGAAGATCTCATCTCAGATCTGGAACATCGATTGGAAGCGTCAGACATAGACATGCTGCAGGTAATGTCACAGGGCAGGGAGAGGGGCAGCCCAGATCCCGCGAACCTGCCTGCTCTAAATAGGTTCTGCCATCCACCGCATCAACACAAAACATATGAGACTAATGAAAAGGAACTTTAATACAATTAGGAAACAATACAGAAAAGGCAAAGAATATCATTTTCAAATCAAGCACCCTCAGTTGCCCATCCCCTGGTGAGTAGAAGTCCCCCCAATACGGATTGGCCCAGAGCAAGGCCCCAAAGCCTGGCACAAGTCCAAAGCACCTTTCAGTGGGGACCCACAGAAAAGGATCAAACCACCAAACAAGTCTGGAAGGAAAAGAACAAAACCAAAATCACGGTAAAAGCTCCATTGTCATCTCCCCACGGGTCTCACCCACATCAGTGTCACCCAGTCCACGACCAAAAGGCAAGTGCAGTTTCCTCACGTGTCTCTCTGCTCCATGTGCCTCCTCCAGGGCTCCTTGGGGCTCCATCCTGCTTCCTTCCTTCTCTTCTCTTTAGCTCCACCCTCCTTTGGGTGGGGCAGGGAACTTGGAACCTCCCTCTTTCCTGGGGACCACCCTGTTACAGTAAGATCTCAAAAGAAGCCCCAGCATCTGACACATGAGAACCATGTGGGCAGATTTCCCTCCCCTTCTGTATTGCTGTGCTCTCTCTGGTGTGACCCTAAGGTGCTTCTGCTCTGCAGTGTGCTTCTTACATTTATAGGAATAAGTGAATGCATAAATAACAAGGGGAAAACCTCATTTTTATTAATGTGTCAAGTATAATGCAATTGTGTGAGCTTGGAATGAAGATGCATTTTATTCAGGTTTATTTGATATCCCTGTTATTAGGTGCTAGTGTTACCCATTCATTAGTTAAATCGAGTGAAGCTAAGTCCAGGTGAACAAATGCACTTCAGAGTCTTAACAAGCATTTTTTCCCCCTCATGGAATGAGTAGAGATTTTCCCCCTTGTTTCTCTATTTTCTGAGAAGAATTATTGAAGGCCTGGTATTTATTTTTAATTACTCAGTGGAATTCACAAATGATGTCTTATTCTGGCCCTTTTTGTGTGAAAGGGTACATATATGTGTGTATATAATTATATATGTATGTAACAAAATATATATAATTTACTTGTTTAATTTTTTAAATAATTTTTGTGTCGTTTTTGGCAATGTATGTCTTCATAGGAGTTTGTCTAAGTTGTGTGCTTTGTAGATGCAAAGATACTCATGTTAATTCTTTATCATCCCTTCAATTCCTACAATATTCACTGTAATGTCCCTTTGATACCAAGGAAAACCAAGGTGCTTCACGGGGACTCCAAACTGAAAAGAGAAATAACCCATGTTGTCTATTCTATTTGGCTTTTTAAAAAAAAAAGATTTATTTATTTATTCATACACGCGCTAGGTCCAGTCAGAAGCGCGGGAGGGTGAGAGAATTCGCCAGAGCCAGAGCGGGGAACAGAACAGGCAGACTGATGAAAAAATATACTGCTGAGGGGAGCAGGGGGCCGCAGAAGAGGCCTGCGCGCCATTTGGGACCCTCATCGGCATTTGGGGATCGAACCAGCACTGCAGAGGCTGCGGGCAGCTTTGCAACCCAGCGCTCAACTGCTGAGCCACAGGGGAGGCCTCACGTTGTCTATTCTAGGGGTTCTTGTTACCTGGTCCATAAAGGCAAAGCAAACAAGTTTTGCTGAAAAGGTTTTAATTGGTTTGCCAAAGTGCTGGAAGGCAAAAGAGAACAGCAGGTGTAGGAGGGAGGCAGCTAAAAGCCCTCTAAGGAGCAAAAGTGTCGAAGTAACAAAAGTAGCAATCTGAAGTAGGACATCCCCCCTCAAAAAAAAGGGGTAGACCCTCCAGAAGCAGGACTGGCACCCCTCCTGCATATTTAAAGAGTATGTCAAGGCCCAGTTTCTCTCCTGGGTTCTCTCCTGGTGGCACCTGAGGTGCAGGACTCTGAAGCTCTCCTAGGTTGCCTTGGCTGTGTTCCTTCAGAAAGTCACTGCAGTCCTTCCAAGACCTTGAGTGTGTGTGTGTGGAGTGGGGGGGTGTTGGGGTTGGTGGTCAGGGTAGAGAAGGGCTGGGGGAGGTATCCCCATGAGGGGAGTGGGGAAGGCTGTGGGCACTTCGGTGGTTGGAAAACTAAGGTGACCACACCTGAGGAGAGAGATCCTGTATTGTGCAAAAATAAATAAAGACGTTTAAAGGATAATATGAGAAGGACAGAAGGAGGGAGAGAGAGAACTTGCAGATTGAATTTCTCTGCAGTCCCCATAATTAAAAAAAATAATCACTAGAGTGCTGGGCTCTCTTCCACCCTGTTTTCTTTCTCTCTCTCTCTTTCTTTCTTGTATTTATTTATTTATTTATACAAGCACTGGGTACAGTCAGAAGCACGGGAGGGTGAGAGAATTCACCAGAGCCAGAGTGGGGAGCAGAGCAGGCAGAAGGACCGAAGTACACTGCTGAGGGGAGCAGCGGGCGCCAGGAGAGGTCTGCGTGCCATGTGGGACCCTCCTCCTGTGGCCGGGGAGCGGCCGGGGATCGAACCTGCGCTGCAGAGGCTGCAGGCAGCTTTGCAACCCAGCGCTCAACCACTGCGCCACCGGGGAGGCCACCGGGGAGGCCCCCTGTTTTATTTTTAATTGTAGTGATTTGCTTTTCACCTTTTTTCTTAGTTTATGTCTCGTCGATTTTATTGATATTTTTATAGAATAAACTTTTATATTTCATTAATTTCTTTTAGGTTAATCATTTGTTTCTGTTCTCTACATATTTAGTGGGTGTGTGTTGTACGTGGTTAGCTTACTGTTCCTTTTCTAGTTTCTTAAAATGGAAATTCAGAAAACATCTTTTCTGGTTTAGTGTTTAATAATATAAATGTATTGCTTTAACTGTATTCCATATATTATTATTGTTTTGTTTTGCTTTTCATTCAATCCAACTTATTTTCAACTGTTTTTGCAATTTTTTTTCCTGTTTACCCTTGGAATGTGTGTGTGTGTGTTTGTGTGTCCTTTTTTTTTTTTCTTAAACTGCATTGATTTAACAACTTGGTGAAGTTACAGATGAGACATTCTAAGCTACTGGTTTCTGTTACTTTTCTAATGAATATATGAATATGCAGTTTAGAGAAAAAATTGAGTAACAATAGTCAATCAGCTGCACATATGTGTGTGTAAAATTCAAGGGACTGGATGAAGTCACTTATAGAAAGAGTTTAATGTGAGGAGAGAGAGACAGGAAAAGCACCTACATTAATGATGTCTGTGTGCACCTCATAAAATGTCATGCAAACTTCTTGAAGAGTATTACAATTTTCTTTTTTTTTTTAAATAGAGGCATGTTTTATTTATTTGTTTGTTTGTTTGTTTGTTTGTTTTGTTTATACATGCACTGGGTACAGTCAGAAGCGCGGGAGGGTGAGAGAATTCACCAGAGCCAGAGCAGGGAGCAGAGCAGGCAGAAGGACCGAAGTACACTGCTGAGGGGAGCAGCGGGCAGCAGGAGAGGTCTGCGCACCATGTGGGACCCTCCTCCGGTGGCCGGGGAGCAGCCGGGGATCGAACCGGCGCCGTACAGGCCGTGGGCAGCTTCGCAACCCAGTGCTCAACCGCTGCGCCACCGGGGAGGCCCGAGTATTACAATTTTCTAAATTCCCCTAAGCCTAGCATAATGCTTGACAATAGTAGCACATACATTCCATTTCTGCTGAATACACAAAAGACTATTAATTATTAAGTCATCTCAGAGGGAGTCTGCATTTAGGGAATAAAATCATGGGTTTCTACTTTTCCTTACAAGTATGTCTCATCTCCAGATACATGCTTGACTTCCACAAGAGTCAAAACTGTTTCTACCTCTTGGGAAACCTGACAGCATCACATGAGTTCTGGAATGTCTGGCCTAGGTCTTGTCTTTGCATTTGTCTCTGACAATGGTACCAACTCTACCCCACCTAATCAAGGGGCAAAGGAGATGTGATGAGGCCTTATAAGTGGAGAGAACCTATTACTTCTTGACACATGATTTTTTAAAAAATAATTAATTTATTTTTTCTTTTTCTCCTAGGATGTGACTGACATCATACAAAGGTATGTGTGGGAGGCCAGCGATGGTTTTTTTGTGCTGTGGAGAGATGCCTAATGATTTTTAGAGTAACCTCGTGTTCACTAACTATGAAGTATCATTGTGGGCAGAGAAATATGGGTATACATTTGTCTTAAATTCCTGTTTATAAAAAATGAGTTGAAAATGGATCAGATACTATGGAAAGGAATGGGGATGGTAGGAAGCTGACAAGTGTGGGTCAGTAGTAGCTTTAAAGATAAAGCATTTGACAAATGGCCAATAGGCACATGAAAAAATGTTCAACATCGCTAGTTACTAGGGAAATCCAAATCAAAACCGCAATGAGATACCATCTCACTCTAGTGTGACTGGCCCGCACCAAAAAAAAAAAAAAAATAAGGGAAACAACAAATGCCGGACAGGATGTGGAAATAAAGGAACACTCTTACACTGCTGGGGGGATTGTAAACTGGTCCAGCCACTATGGAAAGCTTCGTGGAGCTTCCTGATAACACTAAAACCTTATTTCCATCTGATCCAGTGATCCCACTACTAGGATCCCACTACCCAAAGAACACAAAAACACTAATTTGAAAGGAAAACTGACTCCTATGTTTATTGCAGCACTATTTACAGCAGCCAAGAATGGAAACAACCCAAATACCCCAAAATAGATGAATGGATCTATTCATGGTAGGAGAACCATGGGAACTACTATAACCATGGATATAAGAAAAAAATTGATAAGTAAAAAAAATCAAGGCTTTGAGTTATCAGACCTCTGTAACCTCATAAATTTTTTTTTAAAGGATAAAAGCTTCCTTTTTTTTTTTTTTTTTTTTTACAGATTTATCTATTTATTTATACAAGCAATTTGTAGAGTCAGAAGCGCGGGAGGGTGAGAGAATTCACCAGAGCAGAGCGGGGAGCAGAACAGGCAGACTGAGGAAGTACACTGCTGAGGGGAGCAGCGGGCAGCAGTAGAGGTCTACATGCCATGTGGGACCCTTACCCGGTAGCCGGGGATCAAACTGGTGCTGCAGAGGCTGCGGGCAGCCCCGCAACCCAGCGCTCAACCGCCGCGCCACTGGGGACGCCCTGTAACCTCATAAATTTTATTTACTCTGTGTGCTTATATCTAGGGTTCTTGCACATCATAGGTGCCTGACTTTTATAGGGGGCAGCCCAGATCTTCTTTTTCTGCCATCCACCCAGAATTAGCAACAATACCTTTATCTCTATAGTTCATCGACTATCTCGTGGGATATTTGGGCCCTGCTGTAAAAAAGTGATTCATCTCCTCACACACTCTGGCCCCAAGTATCAAGAGGCAGCATCTAAATTTAATTTCATACCTACCCGGCAGCATCGACCTCTTTCTGAACACATAAAATCCAGACCACTGTTCGGCTGGAGATCATCATGTATTCTTTTCCAAGTGTCTGCAATTATTCTCAGAGAGCCTGAGTCTTAAATGTTACTCTGAGGGCCTCGCTAGTGGGGAGTAGAGTTTGAAATCTTGGTTGTCTCCAGGGAGTGTTCCCAAACTTGATGTAGCTCAGACACCCAGGAGCCAGGTTCTGGAGCCTTCCTTTCTGTTTTTCTCTCTGGATCCCAAATGCATGTGGTGACTTTTCCACACATTCATTTTTTTTTAAGGTAATAAATTTTAGTTTGTCAAATCTGTTATTACACATAATTTCATATGGTTTTTAGCAAGTAGAGGGATAGATATTAATGATTTAACTTTGAAAGGAAGAATCTGCTCTTGAGAAGTCGAGACCTTCCCAGAGTCACACAGAGGTAGACATCAGCCCATTTTTTTCTGACTCTGAGGTCAGCATTTACTCTTTTTTTCTCATAGTTTCCAGGTAGAGTTCAAGTGCATTGCTTGGAGTGAAGAGATAAGAAGTCAGTAGTTTCGACAGGACAATAGTAGGGATCTGTTTCTCATTCTAGGTGTTGGCATTTCACTCTGAAGGAGCCCAAAACTTTTCCCGAACAAGCAAGACGTGTGTACCAAGCTCCGGATATGAGAGGGATGCTGCGAGGGCTTACTGGTGAGGTGGGGTCAGCCGGCTGGGTGACTGGAGGGTGTTGCAATGGCAGGGATCAAGTGAGGAAGAAACGCAGCTTTTAGGTGTGGACAGTGATGCTGGGGGCACTGGAGACCGTGGCTGAGGAAATGTCCTGTTGAGTGGGGATCGACCAGGACTCAGTGCTACCCTTATTTACTGGTTTACTCCCTGCCATAGTTCCAGGAATTTCCCTTAATCTGGAGAGGAAATAGAGTTCAGTGCTGTGTCCTTCGCTTAGATTTACCAGTTGAGATTTTATTTTTAATCATTTCAGACCTGGCGAGTGTGCGATTCTACTGGGGTAAGGATATCTTCATGTCATCAAACTTCTCTACTCTATTCACTTCATCTTTCTGAATTATTTGATTTCTAATAGAGCTCATATTTTAAATCTCATGTTTCTCATTCTAATACACATGCAGACTGATTCTGCAGTGTCTTATTTCTCCCTAAAACCAAAATACTTTCCATTTCCTGCTAAGTTATTCTCATGATTTTTCTCGCAATGTCATGTATAAGGACACTTCCTGTCCCTCACCCAAACCTTTAATTTTTCTGCAGTTGATGTCACCTTGAATCGGGCCATCAATGGACACTGTGTTGCGATTTCTGCAAATAAGAGAGAACTGAGATATTTGTGTGACAACAATCCAGTTACAAATGGGAATTTCTATTATGATTATTCTGTCGTGGGATCACCACTTCTCACAAATGGGAAACATTACTGGGAGGTAGATGTATCCAAAAAAAGTTCCTGGATCCTGGGGGTGTGTGGGGAAAACCATTACAAAGCATGTGCATTGAAGTTTAATATGAGAGTTCATGAGTCCACTTTTAAACAAGATTTTTATGCTGGATTACAGCCTGCACGAAACATATGGGCTATAGGGTTAGAGAATCGATCAGAGTATCGTGCTTTTGATAAGGACACTAACTCCCAGGAACCGAAGATCTTGTCTCTTTCCATGACAGTCCCTCCCAGTCGTGTTGGGGTTTTCCTAGACTGTGAGGTGGGCACTGTCTCCTTTTACAATGTCACAAACCATGGATCACTCATCTATGAATACTCCAAGTGTTGTTTTCCTAAGAGTATTCTTCCGTATTTGAATCCTCTGGATTGTACATTCCCCATGACTATTTGTGAACCAGGCCCTTGAGCTTCTTGATCCTCATGCACTTCCCTGGAGTGCCTTTTGCCTTGGGGGCATCTAAGGCACTGAGCTTATTTCCAACATTCTGCCACCTTTTCCTTGCTGCCTCCTTTCTTTTGCATTTGACATCCTTTATTTACCAACAGGTTGTATCACTTACCTTGTGTCAGATTTTTCCTAAATATCATGCACATTAAGAGAGACTCTTAATTTATCAATTTCTATTCTCCCAAGGAAAAATGAGGCCCCCTGCCCTCTGCCAAGTGTTTGTGATCTCATTTTCTCTGCCACTGACTGAGAAAATGAAGGCGTTAAGTAGTAAATATCATAAATGATAGGTACTAAGAGAGGCTGTTGTGTCCAGAGTGTATCTTTTTTTTTTAAATAAATTTTATTTTTATATTCCCCATACAATTGTAATCCCCTTATTTTGACCCCAATCCCTCTCCTCCCCGCCCCCCACCACCCATAGAGTGTCTCTGGTTCATAGTTGTTTGTTGATTTTGATTTTCACTTTCTTATAGTTATTCATTTTCCTGGTCCCTTATTTAAGTTTTCTAGATTCCTGCTATGAGTGAGACCATCCGGTATTTTTCTTTTTCTTTCTGGCTTATTTCGCTGAGCATGATCCCTTCCAGCACCATCCATGTTGCTGCAAATTGCATGTGTTTATCTTTTTGATTGCTGAGTAATATTCCATGGTGTATATGTACCACATCTTCTTGATCCAGTCATCTATTTTTGGGCATTTGGGCTCTTTCCAAAGCTTAGCTATTGTAAATAGTGCTGCTATAAACATAGGGGTGCAGGTGCTCTTTGGAATTGATGTTTCTGTGTCCTTTGGGTAAATACCTAGGAGTAGAATTGCTGGATCATATGGAAGCTCTATGTTTAGTAGGTCCAGAAATCTCCACACAGCTCTCCATAGTGTTTGGACCAGTTTGCACTCCCACCAAAAGTGCAGGAGAGTTCCTTTTTCTCCACATCCTCGCCAACATTTGTTGTTGCTAGTTTTTTTAATATGTGCCATTCTCACTGGTGTAAGATGGTATCTCATGGTAGTTTTGATTTGCATTTCCCTGATGACAAGTGATGTTGAACATTTTTTCATATGCCTGTTGGCCATTTGCATTTCCTCTTCAGAGAAGTTTCTTTTTAGCTCTCTGCCCATTTTTTGACAGGATTATTTTCTTTGTTTGTGTTGAGTCTTATCAGCTCTTTGCAGATTTTTGTGATCAGTCCTTTATCATTAGTGCTGTGTGCAAAAATGTTCTCCCGGTTGGTGGGGTTTCTCTTTGTTTTTGTTATTGTCTCTTTTGCTGTGCAGAAGCTCTTTAATTTGATGTAGTCCCAGCTGTTTATCTTTGCCTTCACTATCACTGCTTTGGGTGATGTGTCTGTAAAGATGTCTTTGATGTGCATATCACGTATTGTTTCCCCTATATTTCCTTCTATGTATTTCCAAGTGTTTCTTTTTTTAAATTTTTTTTAAAGATTTATTTATTTATGCATGAACTGGGGTACAGGCCAGATGCATGGGATGGTGAGAGGATTCACCAGAGACAGAGTGGGGAACAGAACAAGCAGATTGACTGAAATACACTGCTGAGGGGAGAAGCGGGTGAGACAGGAGAGGTCTGCTGCACCATGTGGGATTCTCACTGGCGGGCCGTGATTGAACCCGCGCTGCAGAGTTTGCGGACAGCTTCACAATGCGGTACTCAACCGCCTGCGCCACCAGGGAGGCACACAGAGTGTTTAAATTCAAGTCTTGTCACTCCACATACCAGCAGTTTAACCTAGAATAAATACTTAAAGGCTGTGTTAATTTCCTTCATTTTTATTTTTTATTTTATACATTTTTTACATCATTTTTCATTTTTGCACAATGTGTGCATTTTCATCTTGGTTATAGTCCCCATACAATTCCCACCCCCCTTGTTTTGATCCTACTTCCTCCTCTTTACCCCCGCCCCAGCCCAGTGTGTCTCTGGTTTGCTATTGTTGTTGATTTTCTTAAACTAATGTTGGTCAAAAAAACCACAACTGCCCCACATTGTGAGAAATGAAATAGCTACAGATTGTGATCTTTGTAAAAATGGAGGTTCTGTGTTCCCTGCCTCGCCTAATGAAAGGCAGAGCTAGTGGGGAGGAGAAGCTGAAGAAAACTGGGAGGAGACCCCCAGAGGGGAGACTGGAGGAAGCGTGTGGAGCAGAGACACGTGAAGAAGGAGGCCTGCTCGCTTCTCAGCTTTGGACTTACACCGTGGACTTGGGGGACACGGAAGGACCCGTGGAATCTGAGACATGGAGAGATACTTGGGAGAGGGTGGGGGGTGGAGACCGACAATGGCAGCCATTACCTTGATTTGTACTTTATTTTGCAATTTTTCTTCTAGACTTGCTTGCCACCTGATGACTATTTTCTGTGGTTCCTTGCCAGAAGGTGCCTTAGACTGGTGGCAAGCTTTGGGCTTCAGTGGCCTGCTTTGGGCCAATCCTGTTTGACTGGACGCTTGCCTTCGAGGATTGAATAACTTGGGGTGTTTTAGTGGAAACTGTTAACGCTTTCATCTTTCTATGCACAGTATCCTTTCACACTAAGAATATGTATTAGTTTTCTTTCAACAGGGTTACTCTGGCTTTGTTTAAAGAAATAGCACTTGATTAAATATTACATGGTCTTTGAATTTTAGCTAAGTATGAAATAAATGGTTCTGTATAGCCCGCTGGTCTTAAGTTTTTCATTTACCTGCAGTAATTCTATTTCATGGAAATTTTGAATTTGAGCTCTGTTTACCCAGCTGCTACTTCATTACAAGAGTCAGAAGTATACTTTGGGGATTTAAGAATGGTGTCAATAAGTGTTTGCCCTGGTCAGTCTAACTTTGCAGTTATAGACATTATTGCAGAGCTTCAGGCCACTCACCTGTGCTTCCTGTTACAGGAAGGGGAACTGTTTCTACAATAGATGATGATTTAGGGCTTGCTGGAATCCTGGTATCTTTGGGTATTTTTTTCTCAGCTCATTACCACAGAGTTCAGCTAGAAATAAAAGTGCATTGTTGGTCAGATAGTAACTGCTGCGATCCTGCTCATCCCCCGGAATTCCCCCCTCACCACTTTCGAATGACTTTGGATGACACAGGTTCCAAGGTGGAAAGTGCTTCTGTGTGTTTATGTGTTTGTACCTATACTTTAGTATGCATTTGTGGGCACAGGCAAAATTGATCAAAGTTTTCCCTTTGCTTTTGCCTTTCTAACACTCCATTGCTCTGATGATGAAGTCTAGGCCTCACTAGAAAACAAATCTGTGCTCTGGAATTATTAACAAAGGTCTCCTTTTCCTGGAATGCCCACTCCTCCAGTTCAGAATGAAGTACTTAGTTACAGGGAAATAAAAACGTGAATTTCTATATGCAACTGAAAAGAGCTATATATTGTAAGTTTTCTACTTTTTTGTTTTGTCTTTTGTTTTTCTTTATTTTTTCTTTATTTTTATACAAGAGCTGGGGTACAGGCCAGAAGTATAGGAGGGTGAGAGGATTCACCAGAGGCAGAGTGGGAACAGAACAGGCAGACTGACTGAAATAAACTGCTGAGAGGAGGAGCGGGCCACACAGGGGAGGTCTGCTGTGCCATGTGGGATCATTGCTGGCCGGCCTGGATCGAACCCACACTGCCAAGTCTGTGGACAGCTTCACCAGGCGTCGCTCAACCCACTGCGCCACTGGGGAGGCCCGGAAGACTTCTACTTTTTAACAGAATCTCCTGTCCTCAGACAATCTTCTGCTGAAAAGAATATGAGACTTTTAATTTGCTTCCAATTACACTCTCTTCTCAAGAAAAGGTCAGAAAACCCTGTGAGTGCCGGGGTCAGAAAACCTGAAGTGTGCCAATTGTGGATTTGCTGTCTACAAATCAACTGTAGGACTGTCCTCTCCCCATCACTTCAGAAACCCCCAGCAATGGTCACACCATCTTCTATTTCTGGGCCAGGACTGTTCTGGGACCTTCATGAGCAGATAAAGTATTTACATGATCCCTACAGGATCATCCATGAACAATGTGGCGGCATCATTGCCTAAAGTTACTGCCTGAACCAAACAGTTATAAAAGCAAAAAGGTTTTTCATACAAGAATTTGAGATCTTCATTGGAAAACAAAATATGCACTCACTAAATATGGAATTTCAACGACATGCTATTTAGCTTGAGGGCAGTTCCATACAGCACTTCATCCTGACTGCTTTTCTTTCATGATGTACAGACAGGTCAGTTTTTAACCCCAGCAGCCCCTCCATATTCCCCACTACTATACTAGGCATTTTGTATTAGCTGAACTCTTATTTGTCTCCCTATGGTGGGAAATAGGATGATTGCTTTCCCCTTAGTGTTTCTCCATCACTAAAACTATACATATTTTCCTGGCATCTGAAAGTAGAGAGATGCTATGAAACCTTTAGTAAGCCAAATGGGTAAAGCAAAATAGTCATATAATTTATAAATATAGAATATGTTTTGAGTATTCCCAGAATCAACAATACCTTACCACATCATGGAAAACAATAAAACCTAATACAACACAGCAATAGCAGGAGTAGTATGATAAATACTTGGCCTGTATGAAGAAGAATAGTGTGAACAGTGTAGTTTCACTCAGAGTCAGGAAGGCAGTGAGCACACTGGAAGGCTGAGTCACTAGAGGGTGGGGTGGTGGCAAGTACAAGAGAATCGGTGAAGGAGAAGACCAGGGCCCAATATTGACAGTGTAATGAATCCATCAGGGTAGGTAGGTCACTAACATCTATACCTTCTTTTGTGTCTGCCTGTCATACAGTTCTTTATAATCACTCATATCTTCCTGCAAAGCTACCCTAAATTCTCTGTATAGGCTCTCTGCAAAACAAGCTATGAACATAATTTTTGCTTTTTGACTTTACAATCCTGTGTTACTAAGTTAATCCTTCATAAGATAAAATGGCATAGCTAGAACTTTAGAAAAGTCTAGGCTAACTATAGGCAGATTACACTGTTTTTTTGAGGGTTCGCTGTCTTTTTTTCTTGAAGGCCTTCAGTTCACTGAGTTCAGCTCATGACCAATAAGGGGAGTAATCTTCTTCATTTAGTCTACTGGGATAATGTTCCTCTCATCTAGAAAATGAGAACACTGAGAACAGTGTTTGGTCAAATATCTAGATAATGTTGCCCAGCACATAGACATAATATTAATCACCACAGCCACAGGCATTGAGTAAGTTCTGAGTAAACCACAGGAAAAAAGATATGAAACACTGTTGGCTAAAATTTCTCACAGGCATTTACATAAATGTTAATATACCAGAATTGCATTATGTGCTACAGCAATTACGTTGACTGTGTCAATAGCATAGAACCATGGTTATCATTGGTATGTTCAGTGTAATTAAAACAACATGTCTAGCTCTGTGAATGCATAGCTATACATGGCATATGAGGAGTGCCTATGTCACTCCTTATATATACCTTTGATCATTGATCTGAAATAAGTAAAAGCAACATAGAAAAGATTCCTTCATAAAACAT